GAGTTTGTGTCCCCTGAGTTTGCTGCTTATGGATTTTCAACTTTTTTAGTTTGTAATTGTAAGGATTTGCAAGCAAAGTGTTTTATTGTTGCAATGTTTTTTTCTTTTTGTTTATTTTTGACTAATGTTTTTTTCTTTTTGTTTATTTTTGACTAATGTTTTTTTCTTTTTGTTTATTTTTGACTAATGTTTTTTTCTTTTTGTTTATTTTTGACTAATGTTTTTTCTTTTTGTTTATTTTTGACTAATGTTTTTTTCTTTTTGTTTATTTTTGACTAATGTTTTTTTCTTTTTGTTTATTTTTGACTAATGTTTTTTTCTTTTTGTTTATTTTTGACTAATGTTTTTTTCTTTTTGTTTATTTTTGACTAATGTTTTTTTCTTTTTGTTTATTTTTGACTAATGTTTTTTTTATAGGCAATTTTTTCCTATTATAATTTAATGAGTTTTAGCAAGAATAATAAAAATGGTCTTATAATGCATATTTATATATTTGACAATAATCTTATATTATTTATTAGATACATATTCTTTTCATATTTATTGACTGATTCCTTTTATTCATCATTTAAACAGAAATTTGATAATACTACGAATAAGAGGGCCTTTTGACAAGGAAGTCTTTATTCTGATACCCAGTGTAAAATATACATGAATGCATGTCTGTATGTATATTTAAACTTTAAATTTTAACTAGATTAAGTGATCTAATTTTATGTTAATGTTACTTTGATTTCAACTCTTGTGATATTTTTTTTTTTGTGATGCCAATGAATACTCGTCACTTTCATAATACTTGTTGTAGAGATTTGTAATTGCAGATATCACTATAGTATGCTGTTGAACAATGCTGGTGTTAGACGCCTTTGAATAACACTTGCACTAATAGTACTTGCTTGACAATACTTACTTGAATAGTAATCTGTATAGTGATCCAAAAAGAGAAATAGTATAGTGAATAGAGTAGAGAATAGTGATCTATATAGCAATAGAGGATAGACTAGAGATAGATTGTTAGTTGTCAACTACTTCCTACATATTTGCATTTCCTCTATAGTCATGTGGTCTACTTTAATTCAATAATGGGATTACCTGTGTTTGTTCACTGGTGAAGTATGTTCAAACTCAAGTGTCAGCAGCAACACTATTCCTATATAACAGTTTAAAAAATTTAGTAATTCCCCTTTGGTCTTGAAGGGGTTTAGAGCCTTATTCAACAATCTTCCTAAATATGGTGTCTTAATCAAAGTACCCAACCTTCTGTCTGTGAACAGGTTAATAGGAGTAGATAGGTCCTCCTATCACCCAGCCAATACTCCTCCCATGTTGTTGAACAGGAGTAGAGATTTATCACTTGTTTCCTGTTTAGCATAATTTTTTTTTTTTTTTTTTTTTTAAATTGAGTTCACCCCAAGCAAGGCAGTAAAATCACAGAAAAAAGGGTTTACCAGTGTGGAAGAATTAGAAAACGGAAACATTATTAAGGAGCAAGAAGAAAAGAAGAGCAATCAGGAGGACAGTAGGTAGCAATTGACATAAATTTTGGAAGTTGGCTGGAAAGCATGGAGCCAGAATGGAGTTCCACAAGCAAGAAAGTGTGAGAAAGGAACTGTTAGCATAGAGCTTAGTTACATCTAGCAGCCATATCAACTGTAAAATGATGAGACCTTTCTGCCATTTTAGTATTGTGCTTAAATAAGAGCTCATCCAAACAATTGCCATGAAAGTATTTATATAAATGGCACAGAGAGGCAACTTAACAGTGGTGGGAAAGTGACTGAAGTTGAGATACCAGATCAGGACCAGTAATATTGCTGATTCTTCAATCATCTCTAGATAAATAGCAGGACAGGAGCACTAGATCATATGTGGCAATGGACGAATGGTAGACATAGATATGTAAGATGTTGTCTTTACCGGTTCTTTCTTCCATGGCCATAATGATTTAACTTAGTTTTTGGTTATCTGATTCACCAATTATTGTGACTTTTCATTATAAGGATACCGACTTAGCAGTTTTCTGGTTGCTGCTTTCGACAGGTAATAAGGGGTCTAAAATCTTTTGTAGCACTTAGAGAGTCTGCTCTAATTAACAGTCGCATAATATTGGGATCTTTGTAGTGTCATGTCATGCATGGATAGGTATCTCTGCATGTATTTCTGGTGGGTGACTCTCGGGCCACATTATACTTTAGTCTTAGCCACCTTCTGGCCAGTTTTTATTAACACATGATAGTGATAATTATTTTGGCCTTTTTCTTAAAACAAAATCTTATGACATGCAATGAAAAGAAATACATGTAAACTAGTTTAACCTTTTAAAATTTTGCCATTGCTCAGTCTCTCAGTCAAATAGTGTATTTCCATCCTCGTTGCCCTAATAAATCTGATCAACATTCTTCTTTACTTGATTTGTTCCTTACCTCCTCTTCTAGCTCCTGTAGAGCATCATAATTCTGTCATCTTGCCAATTCAGATCATACTGTAGTATCTGTTGATATTTCTTTTGAGTTGTCTATTAGAAGGAAACCTATTCACAAGACTTCTGTTACTGGTGTACTGATTGGGATTCATTTTGTGACTTTATTTGAGATACCCCTTACATTGATATTCATAACCTTCCTATTGAGAATTGTGCCCCAGAGGTTTCTTCTTGTGTTAAAAGTGGCATTGATGTCTTTGTATCTTACAAATAGCAGGTGAAACCACAATCTTCTTCCTGGTTCACATCGGCTTGTTCAGTCGCTATAACTCATAGGAATCACTATTTCCAGGTGTATTAGCTTGATAGTTCTGATCACAACAGACACCTATTTGTGCCTGCTTGCAATGATTGTAAACATGTCCTTAAAGAGGCCTAAGTCTTAGGCACTGTATAGCCTCTAACAAGTTTAGTTCACTTGACTAATGGTTGCTTTGTAATAGTATCAAATAAGTCTTCTATCCCTCCTCTCTTCACTCAATTTGAGGTGTTAACATCTGATAAAGAAGAACGTTTTGCTCATAAATTCTCTTCCAATTCTACTCTTTACTAATCTGGAGTATCTTTACCTGACTTTCCACTAAAAACTCAGTCTCTATTGAGTGGTATGCATATAATACCATCCATGGTTTCTGCTATCATTTCTAAACTGTATCTTCACAAACCGTGAACTTGATGGTATCTCTGCAATAGTTCTTAAGAAATGTACTTCTGAATTGGCTCCTGTTTTCTTTAAATTCTATAACAAATGCTTTGCTGCTTCTTGCTTCCCTGCTTGTTGAAATCCTCTTCTGTCGTTCCAGTATTTAAGAACTCGGGCAAACTGCCTGATTCTTCTAGCTGTTGACCTATTAGCCTTCTCCCTCTTTTTGCTAAAGTACTGGAAGCTCTAATTAAATCTGAATTGGTTAAGCATCTTACCTTGCAGGTTCTTCTTTCAGTTGAGCAATATAGCTTTTGCTTTTCTAGGTCAACTGCTGATGTTTATAAATCTACCATTCGTCTAGGCATCAAATATTGCTGCCACATCCAGTCTACTGCTCTTGCTATATTTTTTAGAGATTCTTGATAAAATCCAAAGAATATGCAATGTTATTAGTTCAGACCTGGCATCCTGGTTTCAGTCACTTTCCCACTGCTGTAACATATATTCTCTGTAACTTTTCAATAAATACTTTCATGCTCCTTGTTCTGATGAACTTTTCTCTATGTTACTGAGACTATGAATTTAAGCATAGTACTATATTGGTGGCAAGGTCTCCTCATTTTACAGTTGAAATGGCTAAATTTAATAAGTTCTATGCTAACAGTTTCTTCCATTGCACTTCTTGCTTGTAGAACTCTTTCTGGCTCCTTGCTTTCTAGTCAATTTTTGATTTTCAAAAATTTAAATGCAATGTCAGTTGTTATTTTCTCCCTTGTTCTTTTATTGTTCCTTCTGTTTTTTTTGTTTTTTTTTTCTCATATTCAGTAACTCATTGTGTCTTAGTGGCTTTATTGCTTTGATTGGGGTGAAATGATTAAAACAAACAAAAAAAAAAGAACTGAATGAAATCTCAGTGTAGGCAACCAGCAATTTGTTGTGGAGTGCAAAGAGCATGGTATATCGCACAGATATCCTAGTTATCTGTTGCATACTGATCTGCTTCCAGATGTCTTGGTGTTGGCCCGTCTCAAAATCCAAGGGAAACAGGGACAAGAAAATAAAACTGAAAATGCCTATGAATGATGAATATGATGGTGTATATATATATATATATATATATATATATATATATATATATATATATATATATATATAGTCCCCAAATATTAGTCATTGCTTTGCCATGATTAAAATAATCCTCAGACAGATTCTTTGAACTGTCTGAGCCTTATTTCATTATATGAAACTTTTAGTCATGGATAGCTGTTGGATATTTTGGGGTTGTTTTTCTGTTCTAACTTAGGATGTCTTTTGTTATTTATTGGATTTCTTAGTTAGGGTTGTGGAGCACTTGGTGTTCTTTCAAGTTAAGGTATGTTTCTATGGTTTTTTATTATTATTTCTCTTTACCTTGGGTGTAGTTGGAGTGTTTTTTTCTCTTCCTGCCTTAAGTTCATTAATTCCAGTATGAATGTGTATACACATAGACACACACAAAATATTCATCAGATACCAATTTATAATTCAGCAAAGGTAATCCTAAGTAATTTGTTTTTGTTAAAGAAGTGAATGTTATTAATGTTTGTTCACATTTCTAAAACATTGATAGAAATAACTTGTTTTGTTTTTACCAGGAAACTTTTTTTGAGAAGTGTATAGGAAAGGTTAAATACAAAGAAAATATAGTTTTGAGATACATGATTTCAGTTTCAGAAGAAATAGAGAAAGATTTTGGATTGGTAATATGTTGAAAGGAATTCAAGTTTATAATATGAAAATGAATCTTCTATTTTTTTTTCTGCTAACAAATGTTCAAAATATGAAACCAGGTAAAAAAAAAAAAAGTCAAAACTATTTTCTATTTAATTACAGAATTCTCCAGAACATGTGGAGCTGACAGAGAGGTTGTGTAAAACTCTCTACTATGGTTATAACACACCACCAGATTATCCATCTCTCCCTCTTTCAGGTAAGTAACTCATATAATTTTTTTTTTTTTTTTTTTTTATACCAAACAATTTTTCCTTACAATAATAAACTAAAAAAGAAAATTCTGTTCACTACCAATAGCAAATGCATAAGCTATTGACTTACATTTGAAGATTGCAGTGAAGGTCATCCTTGCTTTAATGTTTTAGGAGATACCACATTGAAGTTTTCTTTCTCTTCATAGCTAAAGCACCACTTCAACCATAAAGGTAGGTTTTGGATAAGTGCCAATTTCTTTCAATGAATTGCAAAAGTAAGAACTTCATTCTATCAGAACCAAAAATGGTGCATTATTATTCAAACTGTAACTAATTCTTTGGTGCTGTATAAGTATGTAATATAAATGTGTAATAGCTGGCTGCTCATTTCTGAGTGTACTCATTTGGTAGGGTGATTAACTAATCCCTGTTTCAGATGTTTGCTCAGACACCTTCGTGTGTCTTCAACACCTAAAAAGCCAGCCTGTGGATTATATTGCAACTATGTTGAACAGACCTTAGTTACAGTTTCTGGTAGAGAACCTGTAATTTGGCGTGATCAGTAGTTTAACAAGACTAATATTCTCAAACCCTCAGTCATGATGACTGGTGACTTTGTTGCATGACTGAGTACTTAGAATGTTAGTGTTCTGACTTTAAAGCTAAATTCGAATCTCCTCATTTGTCAAGGTGACTTCTTTATAATATTGACTTGAGAATTTGATCTCGGCATACAGCACAATTGGGAAGTGCTTGAAAAACCATATCAAAGTTGATCCAAACCATGTAAATGAAATTAGATGATTGAAACTGTTCAGAATCCCTTAATCATTGTGTATATACAAGTAGAATAATAAATAATACATTTAAGTTGTGAGTAATTTCATTAATATTCAGATTGTGAAAATGGGATTTTCTGATGGTTAGCTTGTGTATATTGGGAAATTTGCATCAGGTTGTGAAAGTTAAATATTTATTTGTTTTTCTTTTTTCAATTATGAATGCAATACAAAATATCAATTGTTTGTGTTAAGTAAAGATACAAATATTATAACAGGTGTTATTGGTTTTTAAATCCGCTTTTTGTGGGTAAATTTCAGTTTTTATTTTAATTTTAACCTCAATATCGCAGTTAAATGTATTCTGATAAACAGTAAAAACATTTTGTAAAAATCTGTTTTGTCTGTAGGAATTTTAACTTAAGATTCCTTAATATAAAAAATATTTAAAATTCATTCATCCTGTTTATTTTGATAGAACAATTCTACAGCTAATTTCAATACAATAAAATGAAAAAGTATAAAAAATTCCTAGATTATTTTTAACTGTAAAAAGTAAATAAAGGCCATTTTTGCAGATTTCTAAGAAATTAAAAAGTAACTTGTAGAGGTAACCTTTGGCATAATGGTTACTAGCATGAAAAACAGAACTGGTAAATAATTCAGTCTTCAGCCACTTGGAAAAGGCATGAATCCATTTTTCCTCCACCCTCTCACTTACTGTAATATCTATTGATAAATGATTGGAGTTGTAGAATGAGTGAATAAACTCTTACAAAAACAACTGTCCCATGATTAATTTCTCTGCCCAGGTAGTAACAGCAAAAAGCTGTTACATCCATAATGAACCTTGACTAATGATATGAGAAAGTAGTGTAATAAATAATAATAATCAATATTTTCTCTGTAAATATGAAACTGCTCTAGTTGATGGCATTTGCTAAGGTTTTTGAGTATTATCAATTTATTATTCTTTTTATTTTAGTTCAATATTTATTTGCTATCAATTTATTCAGCTACAATACTTTTTCTGCATTGTTAATATATTTCTTCTTTTATATCCTTTAAATAAGGTAACTTGCCAGATCAGTTGAGGTTCTTTGGCTATGTATGTGTATAGACTGTCCTTGACCTACAGGAAGTACCTATTAGTATTGTTAAGTGGGTGGGTGTTAGCAAGAGAAAAGGCTTTGACTTATTTTACTTACTGAAGCTTTTGCTAGTGTGAGAGGATGACTTAATTAATTTTCCTCCTGTTTCTACGTAACTGAATTTTTATATAATGAAAATGTTGGTATGTGTCCAAATAAGGTGTGTATGTTCCTATTTATCAATAGTTATTTACTAAGTTTAATTTAGCCTGACACAAGTGGAGTGTCTTAAGAAATTGAACTCACACTAGCAAATTGGTTTGGGAGTTTAGCTTGTTAAACATCCTAGCATAGTAGGTCCCTGTTCATAGTGCCACACATGCACACACACACACACACACACACACACACACACACACATATATATATATATATATATATATATATATATATATATATATATATATGTGTATTTGTTCGTTTAGCTGTTAAATATAAACTTAATGCTCTATCTTGATATTGAGCACTATTACAAAGACTGCTTAACTTAAATACATTACAGTATTATGCTGGTCAACTGAATTTGGGTAAAATATTATCCGTTGTTGTGTGTGTATACATATATATATATATATATATATATATATATATATATATATATAATGTGTGTGTTAAACAGAAATTTAACACCACAGTACTTGTATATAGATTTGAAAATGCAAGAAACCATTCTTCTTTAAGAAGCAACTTTTTCCTTTTCAACAAACACTCAGAATACAAAGATAAATATTAAATTGACACAATATCAATTTGCACTGTGAGAAAAGAAAAATCTAAAGAGAAAAAGAACCATAATTAAAATACAAATTCATTAATAAAAACAAAGAGGAAGAAAAAAAACCTGGCAAAAGAGCTGATGTAAAGGGTTCCTAGTTGAGTACAAAATGGTAAAAAAGTTTACATATTCTTCTGACAAAAAGTGTTGGTTGAAAAGTATCCTTAAAGAAGACTTTTCTGTGTTTTCATATATATATATATACACACACACACACACTTTCACATATTTCTATGTACATGACAGTGTTAGCATAGATATAACAAAAAAAAATCAAGTATGCTTTTCTTTTATTTTTTATTCTTCAGATATTTGTGTGGCTTTCCAGTTATGTTAATCTTACACAAATTCACAAGTGTGAATCAATGATCGACCTGATGTGTAGTTTAATAAGTTGCATTTGGATCTGAAATTTTCACTGTTTAATGTTTGATCTATATGAATATTTGACACTTAAGTGAATTGTCAAGGAAGATTTGTTGTGCAAAATAAGTGCTTTTTATTCTTTTTGCTAGATTGCTGACTTACTGGCCTTGTGTGCGCACGCGCACATATATATATATATATATATATATATATATATATATAAGGAAATAACAGATCAGTGCAGTTCCAATTAGTACAATTTTAATTAATGCACTAACTTTTTTTCTGTTTATCTCAAAATTGTGATAATTAAAGGCTAATTTTCAAAATTTGATTGCTAAAACAAAAACCATCTCAACTCTAAAACCTTGTTAATTCTGAACAATGTGCTTGGACATTCTTTACTGATTTTCTTTTCCTCTGAATATTATCTTTCTATTACAACTGATGGATAAGTGTATAATTGCAGTTTTTAACTTTTACTAGCTTAAGCAAATGTTCAAAGAATTGATCTCTCAACTAGGGAAGACCCAATTCAATCAGAAACCTTTGTAATTATCCCTGGAAACATATCTTGGCATTCTATGCCGAGGATTTTTTTCTTAGATAATTTTGAAAAAAAAACCCCCAAAAACAATAAATGTAAAAATTACAACAACCACAGACCTTGATTTTAATGACTTTAAATGCACAGTGAAGAGTTTAGTGATTTGCTCACTTTAGAAAGTGAGTGTCTACAATATTATAGAAAATGCACCAAATGAATGGATTCTCATGGAAGAAATCTCTTTAATGAGCATCTGAAGGATTGTTTAAACAGTCAATACTTTGAAACAACAGGGTGTTAATACTGGCCCAGTCATGTAGTGTATTAGCTAAATTTTCTGCAATATGAAAGCACCTGTGCATCTATAATATTATTTGTATGAAAAAGAAAAGGAGGAAAAAATTACAAAAAAATTTTTGGTAAACTTTTTTTTTTTTTTTTATCAAAAATATAAAATGTTCATTTCCTTTCAATAAACTTAAAACTTGGTTTATTATTTGCTATCATAAATTACGAAAAAAACAACTTTTTTTCTCTAATTTAAGGATTAATTAAATTATTTCCAATATTTTTGTAAGTTCAATCAACATAGTTTTTTGTTAGATTTATACCTTTTGAGGCGATATTAACTCTGTTAGTCAGTTTTTACTGTATATAAATTATTGTTCCTATTAAATGGATTTGCATAAAAAGAATAAAGTATTATATATACTTGCTTCTGTTTTTACACAATTATTCCTAAACATTTATTCTTTCTAACTCCAGTTTTATTTAACTGGAATCATATAATGAACTCCTTTCAAACTTTTGATGTATGAGTGGCTAACAATTGTCTTTAGAACTGAACCAACAAATTACCCACACATAATTTGATGATAGTGGTGAAGGCTTATGTAGGACCAACCATATTTTCAGAAAAACTGATAAAGAAACTGTGTACAGTGTGTCACAATGTCTCTAAATGGCTCTCCTTTGATTTGAATTCAGTTTTTCTTTGTCCAAGACTGGTTGCCAACCATGATCAGAGTGAACAGATATTTAACATGTTAACTGGTGCAAGAGAAGTGGATACATATACTCTTAATGGTATGTGTGAAACCAAATGTAATAAACTTGGATGCTATATATGCGCATGCACGTGATATATATATATATATATATATATATATATATATATATATATATACACACACACCTAGTGAGCTAGACAAACCTACCTAGGTTTCACCTAAACGGATTGTCAGGGAAAGTAAGGCTAACGAGGCAAAGAGAAACGCATATTTATAGGCGATAGCTAAAATTATACCATGTGACCAGAGAACCACAAACACAACCTAAGTGGGTGGGGGGGTAAATATTTATTCAACAAAAATGGGGAGGGAAA